GGGGGCCGGGGCAGGGACAGCCCCCCCCGGGTCACACAGACACTGCCCAGGCTCCCCGGGTGGGACAGGGACCTGTCCCCCCTACCAAGCCCCCCCAGACCTCCCCCGTGCCTGCCTGCCTGGCTGTGAGGGGGTTTTGGGTTTAAACCCCACACGGAACCAGCTCAGCCCCACATCACCCTGGAAAGACCCGTTTTCCAGGCTGCAACTGACAGCCAAGACCTCCAGCACCACTTCCCCCCTCTGTTCTCTGCGGGACAAAGGTAAAGAGACCAGAGCACTGCTGCTGTTGTGCACTTTATTTCTAGAGGTCCTCTCCCCGAGGATCCCAAAGCACTTTTCAGTCTGCACGTTGTTCCCAGGTTACGGGTGGTGACGCCGACAGCAGGTGGGGTGACTGGGACAGACATGCAGGAGCTGGAAGCAGAAGTCTTAACTGACTCCTAAGCTGCTCTTCAAACTGGATCATCACCTCCACTGGGACACTGTAAGTTGGACTGTGTGGTGATGGGCACCCCCTGGTCAGGGCTACTAAAAACCAATCCATGAGTGACCAAATTCAAATTTATGCCCTGCCTAGGGCCAAAATACTGGTTACCTTTACCTGGGAACACTGCTCACAGCTTTGGGCTCAGGACTAAGCTCTGCGTGGGGAAAGGAGGGGGTCCCAGACAAACACAGGCCCCCAGCAGTGCTGGGAAAAGAGATGCTGAGAGAGGAGTGAGGATCCAGCTGGGCGCTGGGAGGGAACGCGGGGGGGAGGCTGGTTGGGCAGCTGGGTGAGGGGGCAGCACCTCCCCAGCCCCACAGAGGAAACGAAAGGAGTCACCAACACAGAGGGGAGGGGACAGGCGGGCGCCCAGGCACACACACACACACGGTGGGGTGAAACATCGACATTTATATCGCGATATGCACTAACAGAGCGAGCTCCACCAGCCGATGCATTTTTGCCAAAGCAGAATCACAATTTGTTTGTCCTGGGGAAGGTTTGGGGCAGGGAGAAGGCAGCATGGGGGAGCCTGCAGCCCCATTTCACACACCATATGGGCTCTCCTCACAGCTCCCACCCCCGGTCATTGTACGACCCCCCACAAGTTACAAGAGGTTCTTTCTGCCCTTTCACACTTTTTTTTCTCTCTGCTGCAATAAATAGGAGGCTGGCAGGGCCCACACAGGTCGCAGGCTTCGGCTCAGAGCTGCCAAACAGAACCAGGCTCTTCACTGGCTTTGGTTGCCCAGAGCTGGAATCAAAGCTTTCCTACACACCTTGTGATGCAATGCTGTATTTTTACTGGCAGGTGAGCAAGGAGGAAGACCCCCTCCCTGCTGTCCCACCAAGCCTCACAGTTGTGAGCAGGACAGGCTCTTGCTGCAAGCAGAGCTGGAGCCACCCTGGCCTCACCCAGTGCCAGCAGGTAACAGGGGTGGTTATGGGAGCAGAGGGGGGCCCTATGCACTGAACCAAGCACAGAGCATGGCACCTCAGCCAGCCAAGCTTAAGCAGAGGCAGCAGAGCCATCCATGGCCACGCTGCAGAAGGCTCAGGACCTGCCAAAGCTCTGGGTCCACTCAGCCAAGCAGGGCTGACTCAGAGCTGAGGGGTCAGAGCTCCTCACTGGAGAGCACGTTCCTGGTGAGCATCGCGTCGGCCAAACGCAGCAGGGAGGGAAGCAGGGATGACATGAGCACACTGCCTTTCCACACGAGCCTGAAAAGCTCACAGGGAGCAGAGTGTGTTTCCTCCTGCTTCCCTAAGGGGTGTGTGGGGGATTAGTCCTTTTCCCAGGAATCCTCCACCACGACATGTTTTTAACGTTTGATCTCGCGCTCTCCCTGCAGGACAGCGGCTCCTCCTCTACCACCGCGCTCCCAAACTTCCTACTTCTGATCCTGGCAAGTGGAAAACCTCATCCTTCCTTCATCTGCGTGTAGATCACATATACTGGAAACAAAACATACACTACGCATGCAATCCAGGCAGAAATCCTGCTATGATCACACCTACAGGATAGGGGAATGGAGTGGGGACATTAAGGAACTCCTCAGGGCTGGGTTACAGACTGTGTTAAACCCCAGCACCCTTTGTTATAACCAAGGACAGACAGACAGACTATGTACAGCACCTATGGGCATCACTGCAGCGGGCACAGCAACACCCCTCAGTCGGAACATGGCGAGAAGTGGCTGCTGAAAAGCCATCTGTTCCTCTGGGATTTACCTGCTGGAGGAGCAGGTGGATCCCACCTGCATAGGAAGAGGTGCTGGGAGCCACACAGAGCACAGCCAGGTCTGCACAGCACTGCTGAGCTCCAGCTCCAGCAGGTAAGCCAGGGAGGAACAGACTTGGTTGGGAAGGGTTTTATTTGCAAGTGTATCTATTCAGCCAGGGCTCTGCCTTTTGGGTCCCAACCAGTTTCTTTCTGAAAAAGGAACTTTTCCTACAGGAAAGGCTGTTTCCACATGATCATTAGTAGACTACAACCAGCCCTCCTAGCAAAAACAAACCAACCAAGCAGGAGGGCATCTGCCCCTCTGGCTCCCTTGGCTAGAGGTGAGTAGCAGCAGCCAGAGCAGGAAAAGCTACACTTTGACTTCACTTTGTACTGCAAGAGGCTGTAGTTGCTCGAATAAAATGTTTATACAAGTAAAACAGAAGCGGTAAAGAAATATACACCTTGGCATCTGTAAAGCTTCAGTGATTTAGGCCTTGCAGGCAGGGGCTACTCACATGGGTTTCCTTTAGAGAAAAAAAAAAAAAGGATGTAACAGTCATAATTAAAAAAAAAACAACCCAAAAGACAAGGAACAGCACTGCAGAGAGCCCTGGAGCACGGGCCCCTCAGGGGAACCGAAGGTCAGCCCTAGAGCAGTGAGGAAGCAGCTGCCTTGCACCCTGTCTGTGAGCAATTAAAATCCTGAACTGAGCAACTGTTAAAAGCCAGTGACACCCCGCAGGGACAGGAGCAGAGAACAGGGCAACCAGCAGCACCTGGACAGAACTGCCAGTGGGAAAGGTATGAGGGATGGAGGGAGGTGCCCTGGCCAGTGGGCACAGTGAAATGAGCACAAGAACGAGCACCCAGCGTGTCACACGAGTCTGGGAAACCGTTTGTTTCTTTACATTTCTGAATTCCAGTTTCATGCTGCTTTGGGAAGGAGCGAGAGAGCAACAGGCGTCACTTAAAACCCCCCAGGGGAAAAAAATAAACCCACAAAAAACAAACAACAAAAACCACCCCAAACAAAACCGAACAAAGCTTTAAAAGGTGGGAGCAAGTTTGGAAAAATGCATCTGTTCTGGCTTTTGTGACTGGAATGTGATTCTTGTTCAGAGGCTACTACAGAGAGCGCGATCCCTACGGCTGGAGCGTGGCCAGAGCTGTGCACGTGCCCTTGAGATGGGCTACAGGGCTTCTAGGACAACCACAGAGCAACAAGACACGAGAGGGGCACAGAGTGACAGTCCTGTTCTCACTTTAAATGAGGAATGGTTTAAAAGTAAAACTCTTCTTCAGCTAGTATCCTCCTGCAATAAAACCAAGCAAGCCGGCCCTCGTAGGTACAAGACCAGTTGAAGATGAGCCTTCCCTCTCAAAACACTAGGGATGAACATCCGGGAACATTCTACAATGGAAAGTGCTTTAAGAAAGAAGGATTCTGTAGTGCCAGTGACAGAACGGATCTGATGGGCTGGGTGACGTTGTGACTGCTGACATCAGCTGCTCAGGCCAGGGCAGCTCGTTTCTCCTCAGGGGTCTCCTCCAGCAGCTGCATGATGAGTTCATGGAGGGGTTTGCAGATCTTTGCGTACCCCCCTCCCGTCAGGTGCAGGAAATCAAACATGTCGTGGTAGGAGATGGTGCCGTCCGAGTGCACGAACCCGGCGTCCACGTCCAGCAGCTGGACATTGGGCAGCTTGGGCAGCGAGGCCTTCAGCAGGTGGTTCACCTGGGCATTCTTCTGCCTCAGGGGGTTTGGCTTCTCTCCACGAGGTAGCAGGCCCTGGCACAAGGAGGCAAGAAAGAGCTTCACACGACTGCGAGAGCGCGTCACCCGCCCGCCCTGCCAGCTGGGGCTGCCTCTCCAGACTGGAGATGTCCCTGACCTGGGGAACTTGTCCCTTCCATCAGACTTTGTCAATTCAGACCTAACTTGAAGTGCCACGAAGGAGCCAGAGGATCTGCAAGACACCTGCTTGCTTTTCTGTTTTGTTTTTAACGTAGCATTTTGTGCTCTCTCCAAGCTCTCAGCAGAGCACTGAGTGCCACAGCCCAGCTTCTCAATCTGAGAGGCAGCAGCCAAGCTACCAAGACAAGGAAGCCAGCTGGGATTTCCAGTGCCAGCTCTGACCTGGGCACTTATATTCCCCTCACGGGACTTCTTCAACAACATATCTAGGTGGGACAGCAATGGTGGCACCCATCTCTTGAGGGGCCAAGAAGACAACTTCTGCAAAGCCAGGCGAGGGGAGGCACAGACAAAGCAGAAGGGAGATAAAGCACCTGCCCTTCCCAGTAAGGACCAGTGACTCCCAGTATCAGAGAGAACACGGGGCTCCCTCAGGGCTGGTTGTTCTCCCCCTGCTCCAGACGTACCAGCACAATGACTTTGGCCTGTGGCTGCTGGGTGTTGATCAGGCGCACGATGGCCTCGATTCCACCGGCGACTTCTTCTGCCGTGTTCTCATGATTATTTGTTCCAACCCAAACAACAATGACCTACAGGGAGAGAACATGTTTGTGACTTTGCCAGAACACCTTGTAATTGGCTGGCTGACTGTGAGAGCCCCGCATAAACATCATCTGCCACCAGCCAGAGGAGCCGGGCTGAAGGCTGAGCCCAGACTGCAGTTATGCCAAGTTCTGAAGAGCTTCTCTCTTGGCCCTCAGCACAGAGGAAGAACTGACCCTCCTGAGGCTTTTCTGCACAGCTCAAGAGATGTCTGAGCCCACCCTGCAGTCAGCACAGGGCTGCTTGGTTCTGCTCTCTGCTTGTACCTTGGGTTTAATGTTCTCCAGTTCACCATTCTTCAGTCTCCATAGGACGTGTCCTGTGGTGTCTCCACCAATCCCAAAATTCAAGGCGTGAAGCGGCGAGAAGAGCTCCCTCCAGATCTGCAATCAGAGATCAGCCTGTGGCCCAGAGCAGCACCTGGCCCTGGCAGACACAGCACATGGGCACACCATGTCCTCGCAGACCCCAGAACGAGTGCCAGAGGGTTACACCTGCTCTGGCCACTAGGGATACACCTACAGAGAATTCCTTGGGATTCTGGGATCTGAGATTCAAGGAACTGGGAAGGGGGAGAGGGGACCTGAGGGAGTGGCAGTGGAACCTGAACGGGGCAGAGGAACTGGTCAGTGTGGTCTGTGTTGAGTGATACCTCGTTCTGCTGCAGGAGCTGCACCATCGAGTCCCCCACGAAGAGCACGTCGGGCTCCTTGTCTTTGCAGTCCAGGACAAACCGATTGTGCTGTGAGAGGAAAGCAGCAGGGTGAGCCCACAGCCCCACGGGGACCCTGCTGCAGGGCAAGCTCCTCCCAGCAAACGGGAGCATCTTCTGACACGTTCCACAGGGCACTTCCCAGCTCACACAACAACGCTGCTTCCTGCCCGGCTTTGCTGCAACAGGACCAACATGTCCCCACAGCCTGACCCCCCCTGGGCAGCAGCCCCCCCGACAGC